TTGGCTTAAGGACAGTGTGGTGCCAATATTTAAAAAGGGGTAAAAATCTTTACCAAGTAATTATAGACCTGTTCATTTAACTTCTATAGTTTGGAAGATACTGAAGAGTTTAATAAAAGACCACTTAGATGAGTTCTTGCTGGGAAAAAAATATTTTGAGCAACAGACAGCATGGATTCATGAAAGAAGAAGTTGTCAAACAAATCTAATTTCTTTTTATGAGGAGGTGAGCAAAACCTTGGACAGAGGGGTGGTGGTGGACGTGGTATACAGTACTTAGATTTTGCAAAAGCATTTCACACAGTTCCCCACACACGGCTAATGTGTCAGGTAAAGGCTACAGGCTTGGAAAAATCTGTATGTAAATGGATAGAAAACTGGCTAAAAGATTGTATTCAGAGAGCAGTGGTTAATGATTCATACTCTGAATGGTCTAGGGTTGTCAGTGGTGTACCCCAATGTTTAGTGTTGGGACCCTTACTTTTTATTATATATTTATAAACGATATAGGGTCTGGGATTAAAAATATAATTTCAGTCTTTGCAGATTACACCAAACTGTGCAGTGGAATAACGTCCTTACAGGATGTCTCCAATTTACAAGCTGACCTCAATGCTCTGTTTAATTGGGCAACTATGTGGCAAATGAGGTTTAATGTTGATAAATGTAAGGTTATGCACTTGTGGTTAAGAATATGTGTGCATCATACATACTAGGGGGGGAACAACTGGGGGAATCAATGGTGGAGAAGGATCTGGGTGTTCTGGTAGATCACAAGCTTAATAATGGCATGCAATGCCAAACTGCAGTTTCTAAAGCAAGCAAAATCCTCTCCTGTATCAAGAGGTATAGACTCCAGAGAGAGAGATATCATTCTACCCCTGTACAAATCATTCGTTTATACCTCATCTGGAATATGCAGTTACATTTTGGGCACCAATTCACAAAAAGAACATTGAGGAACTGGGGAAAGTACAGAGAAGGGCAACCAAAGTGATAATAGGCATGGAGGAGCTCAGCTATGAGGAAAGATTAGAGGAACTGAATGTATTCTCTCTTGAGAAGAGAAGATTAAGGGGGGATATGATCAACATGTATAAATACATCAGTGGTTCTTATAGTGAACTCAGTGTAGAGTTATTCAACCTGAGCTAATCACAGAGGACAAGGGGGCGCTCTTTACCTCTGGAGGAAAAGAAATTTAATCTCCAAACATGGAAAGGTTTCTTCACAGTAAGAGCTGTAAAATTGTGTAATAGACTCCCTCAAGAATTGGTTCTGGCCAGCTCAGTGGATTGCTTTAAAAAAAGACCTGGATTCTTTCTTGGATACCCAGAATATAACTGGATACAAACATTTATAGGTAAAGTTGATTCAGTGAATATCCAATTTCCTCTCCGGGGATCAGGAAGGAATTTTTCCACCTGCAGGAGCAAATTGGATCATGCTTTGCTGTTTTTTTTTTTCCCTCCTCTGGATCAACTGTGGGTATAGGATTATAACTTTTTTTTTCTTTTTTTATTGGTTGAACTGGATGGGCTTTTTTCTTTTCTCAGCCAGACTAACTATGTAACCTGTGTGTAATTTAATCTCAGTATAAATACAGCTGTTTTGTGAAGCCCTCAGAGGTTTGCTAGTGAACATTAGTGAACAAACAGCATCATGAAGGCCAAGGAACACACAAGACAGATCAAAGATAAAGTTGTGGAGAAGTTTAACCACCTCATTACTGGGCACTTTCACCTCCTTCCTGCCCAGGCTAATTATCAGCTTTCAGCGCTCTCGTGCTTTGACTGACAATTACTCAGTCATGCAACACTGTACTCTTTTGAAATTTTTAAGATTTTTTTTCACACAAATAGAGCTTTCTTTTGGTGGCATTTAATCACCACTGGGTTTTTATTTTTTTTGCACTATAAATAAAAAAAAATACAGAAATGTTTGAGGAAAAAAACTTTTCTTGGTTTCTGTTACAAAATTTTGCAAATAAGTAACTTTTTCTATAATTTATACTGCTACATTGCTTTAGTAAATTAATTACCAAAATCAGTGTAAAGTATTTGGGTGTGTGAAAGTTATAGAGTCTACAAGCTATGGTACCAATCAAAAATTGATCACAACTGATATACTGACAGCCTCATCTCATTTCTTGAGACACTAACAAGCCAGGACAGTACAAGTATTCCTCCAAATGATCCCTTTTTAGAAAGTAGACATATCAAGGTATAGTAAGAGGCATGATGAGTTGTTTGAAGTTTTAATTCTTTGGAAAAAAAAGAAAGTAAATACTTTTTTTTTTCTTTTTTCACAAAAACATCATATTGAGTTATTTCTCACACACGGCATTGACATATTTGCAACTATACCCCAAAACACATTCTGCTACTCCTGAGTATGGGGATACCACCCGTGTGACACTTTTTCTCATTCAGGCACCATCAGACATTATCCACTTTAAGACCAGGCCTTCTTCTAACACTTTTTGTTTACAAGTAAAAATCAGTAATTTTACTAAAAAATTACTTACAACCAAAGATTTTTTTTAGGCATAGACCCTATAGAATAAAATGGTGGGGTTTGCAATTTTTTATGTTTCACAGTATTTGTGCAGTGTTTTTGCAAACGCAATTTTTTTGGAAAAAATCCATGTTAAGGAATTTTAATGCACACAAACACTATACAATACCCACATTTTTGGTAAAATATAAAATATGATGTTGCACCGAGTAAATAGATACCAAACATGTCACGCTTTAAAATTGCGCAAGCTTATGGAATGGTGCCAAACTACAGTATTTAAAAATCTCCATAGGGGATGACTTATAAGCCTTTACAGGTTACCAGTTTAGAATTACAGAGGAGGTCCGGTGCTAGAATTATTGCTCTCGCTCTGATGTTCGCGGCGATACCTCACATGTAGTGCAATCGCTGTTTAAGTCTGCGTATGAGTAGGAATGAAAAAACGACCAGGGGCAAAGAACCTGTAGGTCAAGCAGGTCCAAATGAGGTCAAACTGCGGCTTCTAAGTAGAATTAAATAATCATTTATTGCAGTAGAAAAACACGGATAAATAACATGGGAAGACAAGACAGTAATGGAAAGAAAAAACTCACTGTCACCAGAGAAAAGATAAAAAAAGAGAATGACATGGTCGTCCAGGGTGACTCCGCACATGCACTAATCCCAGAATCTAATAGGTGAATTGTAGGCCCAGAGATGGTATATAGTCCAAAGGAGTGGGAAAAATACCAGAGAAGATTGTGAGAAAGAAACTGGACAACACATAAGTCATGAAAATTACATTATGGCTATATCCTATATATCAGAGATAAACAATGACCTAAAATTAGGCATAATAATTGATGAAGGTAGCCAATAATGATAAATGAATTGTGTGTCCATAATATGAGTATAATTAAGTTGATTTCTCTGGCAAGTCCATGGAAATAATCATGATGCAGGTCTGAATGGTATTACTTATCCAAGTATACCAACTTATACAGCATAAGAACCAGACTTTATTTGCACCTTTATGGTAGAGTGCGCCCTGGAGGTGCAGTATAGATATAATGTTCCATAGAATGAAGATAATGGCAATATTAATAATGGCACTTATACCATATAGATTGCATATATGGCTATTATGGAGCATCCAAATAGTACCAAAATGTACTTATTGATGATTGATTAGTGAATCATAAATCATGAAAGGCGTTGATCCCAAAGTCTTCAGCTTTAATGCATAATACATATATCCCTCCTGCAGTCATAACATTTATATCAACTTGGCTGTGACCCATGAATAGACCAACAGTTGAAGAAATATAAACAAGTAGGGGGGAAGACTAGTAACTCCAAACCTGCCGCCAGCCGGGCGTTGAGTGTTGATCCAGGATGGATTGGACCCTGTGATACCCTGTGGAAGTGTACAGGTATCAATGACAGTCCGCAGGGTTGGTCAATGGTATAATGCAGGCGAGTATCCCCAAATGATTGTAGCAATGCGGAGCATAAAGTACTGTTGGTCAGGTCTAAATGTAGCAGTACCACAAGGATATAGAGCGACTGAGTAGTGGAGGCTTGGCAAAGCATGCAGCAGAGCGGCTGAGCATGCTTGAACGCTGGATGGTGGAAAGGATCAAACGCTATGCAGGCATGAGTGTGAAGGAACTCATACGATGTTGAAAGTGCTGGTCCGTGGGACTGCGCATGCATCGGTGTCACCCGGAAGTTACGTAACGCATTTGCCCACCGAGTCACGTGGGCTTCTTCAGATGAATAGCAGCCATGTTTTTGGAGTCCTTATATATTAGAGAAGAGACTCATCCTAACCAACATGTATACTTAATTGAAATCTTAATCATGACTGACATGAACAAAGACCAATAACATTCAAGGAAATATTTTACATAGACAATCATTATAAAATCTAATTTAAACAGAAATGGCATATCCCTATGGTCCTGTATAACTACCCCCTTAGCAACCATCAGAAACTATGTTACAGAAAGAGGAAAAGGAAAAGACAAAGAAAGAGACAGGAATGTGAAACCAGAAGTCAAAAACGTCGGTAAGATCTATTATAGAGAAGGAAGCGCCCTCAGTTACGGACTTAAATGTCATAAACCTGTCCCAATTCGTTCTCTAAGATAGGCATCTAAGTCTCTTAGAGAAGGGACTGTCATTTTCACCAACAAGCACTATGAACCATTTTGAGGTATTTAACCACTAGCCTACAGGGCACCAATACCCCCTTCCTGCCCAGGCCAATTTCCAGCTTTCAGCGCTGTTGCACTTTGAATGACAATTGCGCGGTCATGCAACACTGTACCCTTATGAAATTTTTGTAATTTTTTTGTGACACAGCTTTATTTTGGTGGTATTTATTCACCTCTGGGTTTTTTATTTTCTCTTAAACCAAAAACAACAGAAAATTTTGAAAAAAATAGTTTTTTTTCTTAGTTTTTGTTTGAAAATTTTGTAAATACGTGATTTTTCTCCTTCACTGATGTGCGGTAATGAGGCTGCACTGATGGGGAGGCACTGGTAGGTGGCACTGATGGGCATTGACAGGCATCACTGATGGGCACTGAAAGGCAGCACTCATATATGGCACTGATAGGCGGCACTGACTGGCACTGATAGGCGGCACTGACTGGCACTGATAGGCGGCACAGGCTGGCACTGTTAGGTGGCACTGATAGGCAGCACTGATAGGCAGCACTGATGCGCACTGATAGTTGGCACTGACTGGCACTACTGATAGGTGGCACTGGCTGGCATTGATAGGTGGCACTGACTGGCACTGATAGGTGACACTGAAAGGCAGCTCAGATGAGCACTGATATGTGGCATTGATGTGCACTGGTAGGCACTGATATGTGGCATTGATGTGGCACTGGCAGGTGGCACTGATGAGCACTGACAGCTGGCATTAATGGACACTGACATGTGGCACTGCTGGGGCTGCACTGATCATCAGGGCACACTGATCATCAGTGCCCTGATGATCAGTGTACATGTCTCCTCCGAGGAATGCCGAGTTACCGGCTCTCCTCTCCTCTCGAGATGTCAGCGTGACCGCTCGTGAGGAGAGAAATGCCGATAACCGGCATTTCCCTATTTACATGAGATCAGCTGGGATTGGACACAGCTGATCATATGACCGAGCCGAAACCTTCGGCTCTTTCTGTTGATCGGTGATCCACTGTGTCCAAGGGACACAGCGCGCTTAGAATGGGAAGACGTCATATGACGTCCTCCCAGAACGAGAGAACCACCTTGCGCCCATCATTTTCTTATATGGCGGGCGGGAGGTGGTTAAACCAGGCCATTTTTGTAATTTTTCGATTGCTTTTTTATTTTTCCCTTACAGCTTTCAGAGCTTGTAAAAGACCCGCAAAAAAAACCTATATATAAGTTATGAAAACACATGACCAGTAGAATAAAAAGAAGGTGCTAATTACTTTTAAGACTTTATTTGTGCAAATGTTAATTAAAACATTATTTTTGCTAAAATACACTAAAATCATTATTAGCAGATACAAACACAGCACATTTTACAAAATTCCTGAAAAATTCCTACTAAATATACTAAAGCGTAACCTGTATTAAGGGAATAAATAACAAATATTTGTATATTTTAAATTGCGCCTTTTTGCAAAATGGTGAAAAACGAACATATTCAAAAATGTAAATAACCAAATTTTTCAAAATCTGGTGTTTTTTATTTTTCACTTGCAGCTTTCAGTTTCCCAAAGCTTAATCTGTATTGAGTTAATAAATAAATATTTGTAAATGTTATATTGTGCATTTTTTGCAAAATGGTGAAAATTGAACATACGCAAAAATCTGGAACTTTTAATTTTTCACTTACAGCTGTTTGTAAAAGACCCCAACAACCCCCTCCCCCTTCCCCAACCATCTATTTTCTGAAAGTACATGACCAGTAGAATAAAATGTAGGAGCTATTGATTTTTTTAGGCCTCACAATAGTTGCGCAAATGTGTATTGAATCACTGTTATCACAAATAAACCCAATAAAATCCTTATTAGCACACCTAAACACAGCATGACTTGCAAAATTCCTACTAAGGTCTAACTCAATGGGGTGTGCTAAAGCGTACACCCATGGAGGGCCATGTTTACCAGCAGGTGTTCTGTGCATCCCTGTGCAGGCAGTCCTATTCATACCAGTTGAGAAGCAGTGGCTGCAAGGAGAGATCTGACATCTGTGTGGGTATAAGTGCATGGCCCCTAAAGCAGACATTGTAAGTTCAGGGACATGTGCCTACATGCATGTTAAGTTGGGAGGTTTGGCTGTCACCCGGCAGCCGAATCACGCTGCTCTTGCGAGACACACGGGCTTTCCATTCATTCTGAATGGCACCCCCACAAATCTCAGCCCACAGCGCACGATCGAACAGAACTGCACAGAAATCGCATGGTCAAAAGGACCATGCGGTTTCTCTGCAGATGCATTTTGCAAAAGGTGCATGCGCCTTTTTTTTTTTGTGTGACATGCCGGCACAGCAGCCCATTCAAACGAATAGACAGTCGTGCCTGCATTTTTTTTACAACAGTTTTTTTTTTTTGGGGGGGGGGGGCTTTGGAGAGCCATCAGGGGTCGAAGACCTCTAATGTCTCTTTTTTGGGACAGAGAAAGGGACTGAAGACAGTCTCTTTCTCTGCAGCCTGCGCTGTAGTTGAATGGATAGGAGTCTGTATAGACTTCTATTCATTCAGAAAGTAGAACATAGTAAACAGTGTTTGCTATGTTTCATTCACAAACTGACACACAGTAAACACAGTTTACTATGTGTCAGTGATTAATGAATACAGAAGCGATCTTTACTGATCGCTGTCTGATCCATCCAGGAAAGGAAGAAGGCTGGTAAACATATGCTTACCAGCTCTCCCTCCACTCTATCCTGCCAGCTGTCAGCTGGCTGCAGCCAACTCTCCCTCCTCACCCCCACTTTCCATCCTGACAGCTGTCAATGCTGCAGCCAGCGGGAGGGTGAGGAGGCAGAGTCGGCTAGAATTGCATAGGGGACCAAGGGTGCCTCAGGGGATGGGCTTTGGACAGCCATCAGGGGTCTAAACAGACCTCTTAGGTATTAGGAATTATAATAAGCTCCACAGTGCAGTTGACAGTCCAATACCCCCCTGGGTAAAAAGTCTTTGTATATAAACAACAGCGCACAACTTCGTACTCCAATCCTCCTGTCTTCTCACCAGAATCTCTGACTAGGATGTGTTTGTGTGCCATAGAATGTCTCACTCTCCTTTTGATCTTCCAATAAAGTGACTCCAAATTTCCAAAGAAAAAAAACTAATATATTATAGTATTGCTTATGCAAATGTGCTACATGTACACCTGTGCACAATTTCATAATAATAGTGTCCACCACTTATCCCCTAAATACTCTTACCCTCTTGGGCTGAAAGTGCATTTCACTCCTTTTACTGTAACATCCACATATACATATGTGACCATGCTCCATCCACCACCTGTGTGCTAAACAAATCCAACGTGCTCGATCCCTTCCCCTTCAGGCATGCACCTTACCCTGCATGTCTTGTGAATTGCCTTTCCAAAATATATAATCAACGTGCTCAATCTCCTCCCCGATTCTTCATATGCTCATAGTGATCATGAAAGATAAACATACACTCATTTGGAAAAAACTATTTAATAACAAAATTGCGCTTACAGGAATCTGAAGCACAAACAGTCTAATTTAACCATTTGACGCCCGGCCTATGGCCAAATGGCATCCGCAAAAATGTATTACCTTTCCGGGAGGCCGCCATATGGCGTCCTCCCGCACATGCGCAGTTTGCGCGCTTGCAGAGCCGCGCAGCGGCGTGATCTGTCACCGGCCGTGTACCTCGGACATGGCCGATGACAGATCTGAGTACTGGCCCCCGTTGCCGGTACCATGTGACCTGCTGTGACCAATCACAGCAGGTCACATGACAGTTGTATACAATGGATGGCTTCATTCATGCCATCCATTGTATACTAGTGTCTAGCTGTGAATGGTCACAGCTAATCACATGCACATGTCATGTGATTAGCTGTGGCCAAATCACAGCTAAGCACAAAAAAAAAAAAAAAACCCTGAATGAATCAATGTCATTCAGGTAAATGCTTGCTTATAGCAAAGTAATTCTTTGCTATAAGCAAATTATGTAAAAAAAAAAAAAAATACTGATCACTTCCCCAAAGTAGTACTATGTTACTATGGTAACATTGTACTACTTTGGACAAAGTAAAATATGAAAAAAAATCTTTAAAAAAAGGAAAAAAAATTTAATAAAAAATTTTAAATAAAAAAAAAATATATTTTTTTTTTTTCCCACTGTCACCAGTCAGTGTCCCTGATCACCACCATGCCAGTTATATGATGACGCTGCACTGATGACAGTATGTAAAAAAAAAATAGTGAAAATAATTTTTTTTATTTTTTAATTTTCCCAGAAATTATGACAAAAAAAATACAACTTCAGGAAACTCGCCATGCCTCTTATGAAGTACGTCCGACTGTCTACTTTGGAAAAAGGGGTCATTTGGGGGATATCTGTACTGTTCTGACATTCTTGGACCTCAAGAAATTAGATTGGCTGTCAGTACTTCAGGATTGATCAATATTCAGATCCATACCATAGTTTGTGAACGCTATAACTTTCCTACAAACTAAAAAATACATCCTAATATGGGTTATTTTCACCAAAGACATGTAGTAGAATACATCTCGGCCTAAATGTATAAAGAACAATTATTTATTTGCAAACTTTTATAACAGAAACAAAGAAAAACGTGTTTTTTTTTTCAAAATTTTCGGTCTTTTTTGTTTAGCAAAAAATAAAACCCCCAGTGGTGATTAAATACCACCAAAAGAAAGCTCTAGTTGTGTGAAGAAAATGATAAAATTTTAGTTTGGGTACAATGTTGTATGACTGCGCAATTGTCATTCAAAGTGTGAGAGCGCTGAAACCTGAAAAATGGCCTGGACAGGAAGGTGTAAAATTGCATGGTATTGAATTGGTTAACCAATTCCAAAATGGCCACTGTGGTACTTCCGGTTGCATCTGATGTCACATCCCCCTGACACGTTTTGTCATTTAATCGACTTCCTCATAGGCAGTAGGCGTCGGACGCCACAGGACTCTATTTATACAACATTCCGCCCTCATCCTGCTGCCATATTCTCCATTTTACTTGCTGGATTACCAATCCAAATACAATACAATACTATTGTCCTTTCATAAACCCTATACTATTTGACTTCGTGGAACAATGCACCTAAAGCGGTACTAATACAATCTTCAAACGGAGTTCATATATCCTAAAATGAATCTATATATTAAATGACTAACATCTCTCTCTTTTTTTGGGACAGAGAAAGGGACTGAAAACAGTCCCTTTTCTCTGCAGCCTGAGCTGCACTGTAGATGAATGCATAGGAGTCTGTATAGACTTCAATTCATTCATAAAATGGAACATCATAAACAGTGTTTACTATGTTTCATTCACAGTCTGACACATAGTAAACACAGTTTACTATGTGACAGTAATTCATGAATACAGAAGTGAACTGTATTTATCACTGTATTCATTCAGGAAAGGAAGGGGGCTGACAAACACATTCTTACCTGCCCCCCTGCTCTCTATGCTGATAGCTGTCAGTTGGATGCATCAGGCTCTCCCTCCTCACCCCTGCTTTTCCTCCTGACAGCTGTCAGCGCTGAAGCCAGCGGGAGGGTGAGGAGAGAGAGCTGGCTAGCAGCACTGCATGAGAGGGGGCCATGGAGGATTGGGGGTGCTACAATGTATGGGGTGGGGGGGGTTTCACTGAAGTGGGAGTCACAGCTGTGCTCTCTTTCCTCACCTCTGCTCTCCATTTGACGGCTG